CTTCATTTCATTTTGTCATTTGTTTCTTCGTCAGTTTCATTAGGTGACTTTAATAACACTTAAAAATCAAATATCCCCTACTTTTTTTGAATAGTATATTTAAAATAACTCAAGATTAAACTATTTATCATAAATCCTTTATCACAATAGCCCTTTAAAGTTTACATTTGTTTCGATTAATTTCATATCACCATCTCTATGCTACGCAACCTTTTTTCACATAGAAACTCAGTACTAAGAAGATAACGCACCACTTTTGTTACGATAATATTTGAATTATAATTCAAATTCTATCATCACATCAACACCAAAACTCAAATTATATATAAGTAACAACGGTACAAAATTAAAAAAAAAATCGGATTGTTGTCTTTTAAAGTCTCTTGTATATTGTCTATAGGAGCGAGCCCGTCCCTGGCACTTGGTTTTGTCTTCTTTTTCTTCTTCACTTTCACTTTGGTCCGTTACCCATGCTCAAACCTGGAGAGCAGTGGGGGTTTTTTCAGGAACAAACCCAATGTCACTTGCCGACATTGCTCTTTAAGCGGCGGTGGGTCAAGCCCCGGTTTCCCATTCATATTTCCTTACTTAAAATCGCAGATAACCGAAAATTCGTGAAAATTATGTTAAAAGAAAACTTTTTCAAAGTGAAAGTGAAGTGACAGTCAAGGACGCAGCGGATTGGATACCAAGCCTATTAAGAACATGACTAGTAACCTGATGTGGCTGGCGCTCACTCGACACATCCGAGGCAGTCGATCCAGCGCCAGCTGGTCAGATCTGTGCAACTGACCACGGCCGGAGGAAACACTCGTTAGGGGTCACGGTTTTCTTATTTTCGAAGCACGGGTTTTTCATTTCGAAGCACGTTTGTGCTCCAAGACACGTTATTTTAGGCCCTGACAGCTACAGTAATAATACTTTTGATAACGTTTTGGTATAAGCCAGCCCATTTTTCGTGGCACAATTACACAAAAACAGCAGTCTGTACATTTCGAAATATAACATAAATGTCCTGGCGTGCCATCTATTTAAAACGTTAATATCTCAGCGAAGACGTTAATGCCAGAAATGACATGATCTGGTATGAAACTCAAGTTGCCATCATTCCCCACAGACATTACATGCTAACATATATTTACATTGCAAGGTTATCAAGTAAAGACTTATTAAATATTAAAATCAAAATGATGATACGATCTATGCCGACCTATAATAATAGTCCATTTCCTGGTAGATAAACTTGTAATAAAGAGGAAGCTCAAATACAGAAATATTCTCATTAGATCTTATAAAAGTTTGATATTTCTTTATCCTTTCTAAAAATAACAGTGATCATATTTGATATGTTAATTTCTTTAAGAATGCATCAAGAATATACCCAAAGTAAGGTTGCAGCGCTCTTTTTTATCCACAGGCTTCAAAAATAAAAGTAACTAGACGAAGAAATAAAATATTTACTACAAATCTGTCAATTAGAAAAGCAAATGGCTCTTGTCGACCAGCTTTTGGTAGTATGGATGTTGTGGAGAAGTAGGAGAAGTAAAATAAATCGCCTCCGCCCGCAACATTTTGTCAAAATGTCCTTGGTCCACCCACACTCACTAAAACAAATATAAGTTTAATCATGCATCTGATTTTGAGATACATGGGATAATTTAAGAAACGAAATTTTATTTGTCGAGAGTTTTCACGACCATTTCCGCAGTTCTTGCTAAATATTTGGAATGGTCGGCGTAATAGTAATATTAGGAGGGACTTTACAAAAATTGAGAGTCGTGTATCACTTCTTCGAGTAGTTATATTGACATTATTCGACTAACCATAAAGAAGATTCTTATTCAAATTCAGAGTCCCGTATCAGTTTACGCTGAATTATTGTACCTAAAACACCTGTAAACACTACACAAGACAGATTTGTGGGGAATTTGTTTCAAATTGCCGAGATTGTTTGACTAGTCATATCGAATGCTATCAACATTGATTTTCCACTGAGATATTGCCTATTACACATGCAAAGTGAAATCTTCAAAATTAATGCTCTAAAAATCAGAAGACCCTAAAACAATTAGTATAAGCGTTTTTTGAGATTTTAGATTACGCAATGCCATCCCTCGACTATGTTTATTATACTTATTCGTGTTACTTGTTTTAACTGTACTGTACTAATTAAGTAACTTGTACCAAAAGAGACGAACCCAACAGGGCTTAGATAATCGTAAAGATTGCCATTTACAACTTATTGAAGACCATTGGTATTTTTTCAAATTAGATCCACGTGATTCATGTAATTGACGGCGCCACACTGGGTCGAAGGATTGGTCAGGTTTCCAGAATTATCAACGAATCTTTGAAGCAAATTCAATTCATTCAGTAAAATTGTTAATTTACTACGATCCCCATTCTACAATATGATAACGTCTTAATGCTAAGACGCATAAAGCTGTTTTGTTACACATCTTACTTGAGTAAATGTCTTCCTCTGTGTTAGCCTATCGTTTTACTTATATACTCACATAAGTCTATACAGGTGAAAACAATGATTAATCCCTATAGTATTATTATCAAGTAGTATGATAACGGGGGCTGGACGTTTCTTAAGGTTGACTTTTTTCTGATTAAATATGCATAATAAGAAACATGGCCTGGGAATCTTCTAATGACAAAGGTAACATTGCCGTTCCTTATTGCACATGGTCGGGTATATGTTTGATAATAAGATTTATATTATAAAGAATGACAAAACATTGAAGATTTTTACGCCCGTACAACTCTTAACCAGATTGTATGGATCACTGACCCGACGAATATGACTGCGAACCCTTGACCCTTCCCAAATAATACTGTGACCAAAGGGTCGCAAGAGAAAGGAATTATTGATTTTCACGCTCAAGGTGATTAATCAATTAATGGACAAGACTTGTCAACACGAACATCGTGTTTGTGTAAAGTACAGTATTCAGACATCATTACCTTGTTTAGATGTTCAGATTTCTCTCAATGGAAGATACGTCATTAGCTGACGTAAATAGGACCCGGATTTATTGATGACCGGTCGAATAAAACTTTATGCTTTAAAAAGACCTGGACAGGATTAAAACCAATTATATTTTCGAAGACGTTCATTGCGGAACCTACATGGTGAAGGATAATTCATTTATATATAGTTATTGTAAGTATATTTGAATAATTAGCGAATTTATTTGATGAAAAAACAACCGAAAGCGTATTATTGAGATATATGTAAGGTGAAAGAATATCCTTAATTGTAATATAAGATTAAAATCTGTATGTTATGGTATTTTGACAATCAGTTTAGAGCTTTTCATCAAGGAATTCAACACGTTTGAAAAGGGCGTTTATAAATTTTTAAACAATTCATGGAATTTAATGATTTTTATCTGGAAGAGTCGGTTAAGGGTGTTGCGATCCCAATTAATGTTGTTTTAAACTTGGAGCTACAGGGTAAGGCATGCCCCGGGAAAACTTTAATAACCGTACTTGGATCAATCTTAGAAGGTATGCAGGTCTAAAATTACGGCGGTGTGTGGATGGTGCCGCAATCCACAATTCTTTAAGGTTTCTGTATGTGTGTGGTTGTAGACTATATGTTAAAGGTTTGATAAAATGTAAATTGAAATGAAATGAAATGGGGTTTAACGTCCTACTGTTCTGCTCCTATGAAGACGGGCATACGCCATACAGTGGGTTATGAGGGAAATTTTGTCCGGGCAGCGGAACTATCGCCTACTCTTATATCGAATTCCAACTGCCAAGGGATCTTTTACGTGCATTCCAATGTTTTCGTCTCATCCGAAGGACTAAAAATGTAAATTGAAGTAAACTGTTTTTATACAATGCTAGCAGACTTGCACCTTTCACCTTTCCTAATTTGATACCGACATGTATAGAAAGTAAAATCTGTAAAACAAATACCGTGAAAGCTTTCAAACAATTTCATCTGGATATGCATATGTCTGTCACCCTTACACTGTGAAACATTTACTGTTGACAAATTCAGATAAATAACTCTATCCCACGAAACATAATCTAACCTATTCCAAAATTTGGTTTCGTTTTATTTTGGGTTATTACTCCTCTTCAACTTTATCTTGGCTAAAAGACATTTCGTTATGGGGACCATCTACCTATATGATTGCCAGATGACAATCGGGTCTTCAAACAGGAAAAGGTAAAACAAATCCCGTAAATTCGGAAATTATGGAATATATTATCATACCAGCCAAAAAGCACAGGTGGGTTATCGGCATGATATATAATATCTAATATCCAACAATAAGCTAAATAAGTAATCGCTGTCCTAAGAGTTTATAAGAGACAGTATAATAGAACTAGAACTAGAACTAGAAAGGATTTTTGTAAACGTGTTTTTAAATACTATTATAAATGTGGTACCCAGTCAAATAAACACAACGAAAATTAGCCCTATATCGAATCATTTAAAAACCAATAACATTAAACATACATTATGCAAGAGCTAAATCTGTCTATTGCAGGTCTTTCTTTAGGCCTGAAATGTTATCTAAATTATTAATTAGACATTAATTAACCTATCTAGACCATAATCAACTCTAGATGGCATCGCTAGCCTGCGATCTTTAGTGGATTTGAGCCGATTTACTGCATAACCTTCCTTCACGATTTAAGGATTAAATGGATAATCGAGACTATGCTGTTTATCGTACTGACTTTAGTAATGATGATCGAGGCTAAGCGGATCAATTTGAATGAAATTTTCAGCAAATTGCCTTTACATTATCTAGTTTTTAACTATTATAGTGAGAACTATCAACTCGTTATCGAATCTCCCATAATTATCTTTAAGGTTTACTGTTAGTTTCACACACCATTTATTTTTACAGTGCAACATGGCGCCACTTGTAGATATAATATATTATTCTTTAAGATAATATTATGTCTGTAAATATTTATATAATATTACAATTTACGGGAGTCATATTAGCCATGGAATTTATAGAATGTTTATGTGTAATAGGGATTAAGATTCAATCTTAAATCAGTTATTAACAGTTCAAATGGGCATGAAGTCGACATCTTTAAGATTTCTGGAAAGAGTTTAATTTCCACTTTGAATAATCGAGGTAAGTTATTTCTATAAAAACATGAATATATTTTAAGTAATTGGGCATATAGTTGTGTTATAAATCATCATATTTAGAAAATTGTAAAATTCAGTAAATTGGTCGTTCATTAATGCGCAATTCTTCCAAACACTAAAAGAAATATCAAATGTAATTATCATCCGGATTTAGTCACATGATTGACTAAAATATTAGGGAAAACTCCCCAAACCTCAGAAAAGGAAGCCAATTAATCTGAGGAAGATTCATAATCACATAATATCGCATTTTGGACAGAATTTGTTCAACATGGACATTGCGAGAACCCTTAAAAACATACTTTACTGAAAGTTGGCTTGTGAACATCATACTGTTCTGTCATTGAACATTGTTCAAACTAACATCAGGTCTAATATTTTGCTTGACATTGTAAAAAAAAACAACGACCCAAACCAATATAATTTTATTTTTTCATTTCAATATGGAAATAAAAGAAAGTGTGCTTTTATTCAGTTTGAATGAAATATTTGACTCAAGAATAAAACGAACATTGCTTATAGACAACTGTACAGCCGAGGATATAATAATGTAAATTTGTGCAAACTAAAGGTAATTGGAGATATGGGTGATTTTAACACCCGAGTGATTTTATTCTTTGGCTAGATTATAGATTTAATTAAATTGTCATGATATTGTGTTTTAAACAATAGGTAAGCATGGTACCCAGATATTCGGACGGGTTTTTTCATGTTTTTCTGTGTAAATATAGGAGATATAGCGCAGGGACCTTCATTGAACTAAATCAATATTGTTATAAAGCGATCACAACCCTCAGAGGATATAGAACCAAACACAAACTATGTAATATATATTTACAAGTATAATGAACAGTGTGATTATTATTAAGCTACGATATTGTTTGACGAATATACGTAAGTATAGAAATATATAGCTGTATATATTTTTTCTTTTTTAAAATTTGTACTTTTAATTATCCATTTGTAAACTTGACGTATTGCTGCCTAGATGGTTGGGCTCATTGTAAAAGTATACAACAAAGCTTTGTTAGCCATGATAATTGCTCAGACACGAAGTGATGCCAGATAAACATATCCTGTCCCGTGCATTACACCTATCACCACATATAGCTAACAGGGAGTGGTGATTGAAATATGGAAATTTAGGATAACCTCTGGACCAAAGGACCAAAGGCGCCTGGTTCTCGTGATAATTTTGTCGCGTTAAGATATACATATTTCTATTTTTTTGTAATGTATTTGTATGCTTTCCATATAAATTGTATTGTGTTTTTTTTTATTGTGCTCAAACTCTAAAGATGCCACCCAAGGATTAGATTTTTATTTTACTGTAGATTCTTAAATCTATATTGCAAAATAATCCTCAAATTTGGCAATACCCGTTTTCTTTTAATCTAATTGTAGATCATTAAGGAAATCAATTTATCATAAATCTTTTAATCCGTAAACACCATGCGAAGTCTCTGATTTTCAAATACCCGAAAAACAAAACGTGATGTCGGAATAAACGGATTCTATAATGACAATGGGCAATAATATATCAGATAGATCAGGTGTGATTAATACGTGATTAATCGCATAAAGCACGGTTCCTTGATTATACCGACACAGACGTCTCCAGACTATTTGCGACCTGTTTAAGTCTGAACCAGACCGTGAGAAAATTCGATTAAATGTGATAACAAGTTTGTAATCTTACAGGATCTCAATCTGTAAAAAGAAGTTTATTCATTTGGATATGTACAGCATTTGAATACATGTACATTATAGCGATATGCAGTTCACCTTGAGAACAACATTTAGAATGAAACATAAATTATACTTGAATTATTCACTTAGTAATAATTTTCTAATATACACATACAATAACATAAAAACAATATTCGGGGTAATTGATGCTGGACTATAAAGAACTTGGATTTTTCAAGCCCGTTTATAGCTGACTGACAAGGAAAATGTTCTACTAGATCAACTGGCACGCAAAACCCAGTTCCACCAAGTAAAGATATAGACGGAGAGATATAATTTCTGTTTGTCAAGTACCGAGAACAAATTTCAAAAGAATTTCTTTCACTGGAATCTAGTAAAAGGATGTCTTAAGGACTCCCAACTCAAAATTGTCCGTTGAAACCCTGTAGCGTTTTTCATAATTAGCATAAATCCAAGATGGCCGCCAATTGGACTTTCTGTCCTCCATATCTTGGAAACGGCTCGTTTGTAAACGTATATCATTAGATACAAAAGTGATACCAACGAATCACGACGCCACAAAACACTTAGTCCGGCAGAACTATGGCTGAACCGGGAAGTTGTACACACAGATTTTTTTATGATTGATTTTAGTACCCTTGAGCGTTTTGAGAAATTCAAGATGGCGTCCAAGACGGCCGTCATTTCAAATAATCATCTATAAACCCCATACTATTTTGTCTAGGGTGATAATTTTGGTGTCTAACCGTAGGGCCTATGTTTTTGGGGCCAAGGAATACACTGAAATCATCCATTATGTTGTGGGGTGATTAGATGAGAGTAAAATGCAAAATGCCAGACAATATGGCCCTTTTACTCGATAGCGGCGGTTTGGACAATAATTATTTCACCGAACCAAACTATATATTTATGGGCATAGGAGCATATGATTGATACGATAACACTACATAGGCCTACATGCCTAACAGGGGGTCCAGGGCCACATGGGACGGCCCTGAAAAAAAGGGCACAATCTGTGTTTTGATCATTTATAAAAACAAATTCTACCCGCAAAATACGAAAATACCCCCACAAAACTAGGTAATTTTCAGTTAAATCCTTTAGTTGTGTGTCTGGTTGCAACCTGCGACAGCACAGGTGCAAAATACTATACATTCTAAGCCACCCCTAGTGCAGCTAGAAGCAAGCGTACTATTTGGGGCGTCACTCGTGCATCCTCATTTGATGAGCCACAGGAGCAATTTGACCGATTGTAATGTTCTCAATTTAGTCTCCTTAACCTGCAATTCAGTTCTGGATCAAGTTCCGGTGGATTGCGATCTTCCAGTGAACGCCACACAATAGCATGGTGGTGACATCGTTTTACTTTCCATACGAATGCATCAGCGTGTTTCAGGCGTCGATTTGCAAGAGCTCTGTCCATAACAAGCTGACAAGAATCACGTCGCAATGGAATCACCAATCAAAGAAGAAATAACCGTTGACACTGGAATCACCAATCAAAGAAGAAACAACCGTTGACATGTCAATTATCATTGGAATCTTGTCAGCCCATACTCTTACTCGATATGACACGGTTACATGCTGCTACAGCTTTGGAAGTGGTGAGAGCTTGATTGTATTCTCTTTCTCAGTCGTCGGAGAACTAGAATCGGTGCTTACACAGGCCACTGTATTTATGTCAGCTTGTTATGGGCAGAGTTCTAGCAAATCGATGCCTGAAACACGCTGGTGGGTATGGACATCTAAAAGTCATCATCCCCACTTAAACATGGTAGTCTTGCTCAATGAATGATGCATTTACAGGGAACGTAAAAAGAGCTCATCAACAAGCCATCCAACTTACTCCGGGGTCTGTCATGTGTCTCATCAGATGCGCATACAAGAATGACACCTCATGCAGTACGCTTGCTTGTAGATGCACTACGGATGGCTTAGAATGTACAGTATTTTGTGCTTGTACTGTTTTAGGTTGCAGCCAGAAATACGACCAAAGGATTAAACTGGATATTGCCTAGTTTTGTGGGGGTTATTTTCGTGTTTTGTGGGTAGAATTTGTTTGTTTAAATGTTCACAAAACAGCCTGTGCCCTCCACCCTTTTAAGGGCCGGTTCATGTGGCCCTGGAGCCCATAATAGGCATGTATGTGATGTTATCACATCACTCATATGCTCCTTTATCCAGAAATATGTAGCGTGTCTCTAGATATAGTTTGGTTTGGTGAAATAATGGCCCTCAGCCGCCGCTAACGAGTTAAAGGGCCATATTGTTTGGCATTTTAGATTTTACTATCATCTAATCACCCCACAACATAATGAATGATTTCAGTGTATTCCTTGACCCGAGTAACATACATTTTTTAGACACCAAAATTATCGTCCTAGAATAAATACTATGGGAGTTATGGGGGATTATTTGAATTTCGCAAAACGCTCAAAGGTGACCAGAGTTCGTCCGGCAGAATCTGAAAAAGAACACCATAGCCATAGGCTACTAAAATCAATCCTAAAAAAAAGCTTTATAGACAATTTCCAGATTCACTCGCAATATTGAGGTTTGACGACCGGACTAACTGCTTTGATACCGAATAAGCGGGTTTGACGTGAGTTCTGGTGTCTTAGAGAACTAAGAATAAGCGGGCTGAGAACTAGTTTGTTTTTGTAACACTGACTGACTGGACATCAGAACTCACGTCAAACCCGCTTATTCAGTATCAAAGCAGTGTTTTGACGTCAAAATAACGGCAGTGTGACGTCATGACGTAATTGTGACGTCAGGACGTCACACCATGACCTGCTGGAAGTTGTTATGATAATTTTATTTTCCGATTCGTTGATATCACTTTTGTATCTAATGATAATACATTTATTGCTCTAAAACGAGCCGTTTCCAAGATATGGAAGCCAGAAAGTCCAATTGGCGGCCATCTTGGATTTATGCTAATTATGAAAAACGCTACAGGGTTCCAGCGGACAATTTTGAGTTGGGAGTCCTTTAGACACCTCTTTACTAGATTCCAGTGAAAGAAATTCTTGTTTTTTATTTCTCTCCGTCTAATAAGCGAACACGTCATTGTATGATATCTGTCTGAACAGTAGAAGGATACAGGACGTCAAACACAATTTTGCAGTTTTTATTCTGCAGTTTAAGCTAGCTTGTTGTATAGCTACGCCATTGTATTAATCGCTGAAGGGCACACTGACCAGGAGTGAACATTCGATAGGCCGCTACAATCACTGCTAGGGATGGCATCGGTGCGGCGGGTTAATTATCTCGCAATATCAACTTTTTTCCTTCTGCAAATTAATTCTATAACCTTTTTTTTTTTTTTTTTTGTTAAAGTTTTAGAATATTGAATAAAGGTGTTTGAAGTATTGAGGGTAAATGGGTATATAAAATGAACAAAAGGAACTATTCTGCCCGGCCCGTTAATGTGCAGAAACGTCTGTCTATTTCATTCATTCATTACCTCCAGCTAATGAAAAAACTGTGATTCAATAAAACTATAAATAACGAGTTATATAAATCCCTTTAGAATGGATAATTTGGTATTTTGTATGCAATGGTCGAACAACGAATCAATTCTTCAATCGGGAAAGAATTAAAGTACAATCGATTAGATATTTCGGAGATCATTAATGGAATATATTGCATTGGTTTCTATCATGTCAACCAAATTACATATCAGGAGCTAATCGATTGAATATTTAAATGGGTTCTTTCTAAGAATAATGAATAGTAAAGGTATCTTCGTAGTATTTGTTATTTCAAGATGCATTATGTAAGATTTAGATGAGTTCACCTTACTTATTATAATGGTCAAAAGTAGACAATGAAAAGGGAATGTATAGAAAATTTCAGACAAATTACTTTATACTGAGTTAATTAACCGATTATATTGTGCGGATGGTCTAATCCATTTACTACCTCGTGGTCTAAATGTCGATTTTGGGCTTGTCATGTGAATTATTTAGTGTCTAAATAATAATTCTTTAAACATTTAAAGCGAGAAAAAGACCTACAACAGGCATATTTTGTTCTTGCATAATGCATTTTTAAGTGTGCTCAAATGTCATTTACACCAGAAACATGAACGATATTCGTACACAAATATTTAGACCTACACTACTAACAGTGGCTCGATCAACCACTTGAATTAAGAGCTATATTTATTCAACTGCATATCTTATAGTAGATTTTAAATGTATAAAGATCTATGGTTTAATTCATCGACACATACTACTAACAAGTTGATATTTGTCATTTTTACCAGCTTACATGACTTTGTTTCAAAGTCTCGTCGACCAGTAGAGTGATAATTAACACGCTAGGGAATTCACATAAAGTTATGAATATTGTTATTATGGACATGCATAAAGGTTACTCATTGGCACACCTACTATTGTCTTGTATTGATAATGACACTGTAGATTTTTTTATATACGTTAATGCAAATATACCTATTTTTCTAAGTAACCTTTGTAACTGTTTTACGCGTGTTGTCCTTTTTGATTAAGTGTTTTGTTGACCTTGGGATTAACAATTGACAATTGCTTCATAACAGATGTGTTGATAAACATCTATCTTTTGTACTCTTATTGGGGTTTTCTGTTACTACTCTAGATTTAATGGAAATGTACTCAATAATAGAATACTAAATTAATAATTCAGATATATTATATTTTTCTACGCCAATGAAAAGTGTGACTAAATTAGTAATTTCTTTTTTTTTTAATCGTAACAATTAGAAATATTTTTACAATAAGTATGGAAATGTATACTTTTATTTTATTAGTTTTTTCATGCGAATAATCATGAATAACTAGAGTGCGCTTTAACTTTAGGATTTTGTACGATTTAATCTTTCAATTGGATTTGTCAACCATCCTACACAATGTTATCAATAAAATATATTGATAAGAGGAGATTGCGTTATTCCGTATTTAGTTGGTTAAACTTGCTTAGAGAAATAACTCCCCAACAATGGAAGTGGCATCATGTGCCGGATGCTTAAGCTTTATTTGGGAGTAGTCTTATGGCCTATAATGTTCGGGCTTTTGTCTTTTCCGTGTATTACCTAGGGGTCTAGTTTGTGGTTGTTTTGTGAGATACCGTTGTCATGCTATATACTATTAGAATCATTCAATAGGTATAACTATTAAAACTTAAATTTATATTTCAGGGAAAGATGAATATTTGCTGAAGGTCACATTGTCAAACTACTGACGAACAAAACAACATGTTTTGGTACGAAACCCAGTTCCGACATGCCGAGGCTGCTAGACAACGAAACAAGAGAGAGGAGAGGAAGCTCAAGATTGAAATTGAGAGAAAAAATGGAATGCAGGCTATATACAAAAGTGAGGTAGACGCCGTGTCAAAGGAACAGAGACGTATCAAACGTGAATTAGACAGAATACGTAAAAGCTCCGTGGGTCCGATAAACGTGTTCAATAAGAACACAAAGCCATACCCTATACATTCAAAAATGCCTGTACGTGCATCTAGATCAGTGAAACGTAAAATTTCTCGAATCGAACAAAGATTTCAATTCTTATCAGGTGAATGCGATCACGGGAAAAATGAACTTGAGAACGACTTAATGCGTGCTATTATGTTCATTGATTGTAAAAAGAACAGAAGCGAAAATAATGCCGTTTTTAGTCAGGACACAAAAAGTCATTTTAATGACCTAACAACAACCGACGATTCATCGAGCACTTCACAAAGACTTGTATTGGGCAATGATATTACGACGGGTGACAATAGCATTACACAGAGTGAAGTAGATAATACTTTACACGATACACAATCCATATCTAACGATACAAACGTACTCAAAGTGCTATCTTCAGAACGCTCAGTCTCGCCTGCACATTCGTGTATGTCAACTGAAGAATTGTCAAATATTGAACATTTGGACAACGATCAACTGACGCAGTTAAAGACCGACTATCATTCCTACAGAGAACCTGAAAGTGGCAGAACTACGGAATACGTAACAAAGCACCGTATTAAAAGCTTGGATTTGTCTCAGTTAGCCAGTTTGGATATGAAATCTGTGAAATCAAATGTTTCTCAGCGGCTTTTAGGAGCAAATCCACCGTCACAGGCAGATTTATCTCGAAGACGCGTTTCGGATGGAAGTTATTCTATTTCCAAAACTTCTTCAAGGGTAAAACAACCTACCACTGTGCCAAAGAGGCGTATTTCGGATGGAAATGTGCTTCCCAAATCTACAACTTCCGCCGTAATTGGATCATCTGTGTCAGTGGATGGCGAAACCAAACACCATACTCCGGAAGAACACCCGAAAGACAAAGATCGCCAGACACCATTAAAGAAGAAAGTTCCAAAACAGCCGAAACTTCTGTCACCAAAACTTGATGTAGAAGATGAAGGGGAAGATGAACGCGATGGAAGCTCGCCCAGAATCCTGGGGTCAACAGATGAGGCTTGGGAAATGGCACGAAAGGCTAGATATCTTCGCACGAATGATCCACGTCAGTTGGAACAGGAGCGGGAATTAAGTTTGAAGGAAATTTTTGACTGACAAGGGAAAATCTTTTGCCAAAACGACAGTGCTGTGATAAGTATGTTTGAATTATTATTATTAAGAGGGACAATTTTATCTGTTTCTGGTTGCATATGAAGGGGAGGAGAATCTTTTTCGTAAAACGGCAGCTTTTAACCAACAGCATACCCAAAAGCTACAAGGAATATATGAAGACGTTGTTTAATCTAAACATACTTAATTTAGTGTTGGAACATCCAGTGTTTGTTCAGACTTCAGGAAAGATAACAGAACTATTGTAAATAACAGGTATCATTTAGAGACCAACGCGTTTAAATAAATCATTTTTATCTTCTTGTTTCGTTTGATATTGATTTACCCTTTGAATATGTCCGGTCAAGTATGTAGGCTAATTAATAGTTAGTTTGAATGACCAACATATAGTTCAGACAATAATTGTGTAATCTTTCACGATCTAAATTATCAACATGGCGGTGTTAATAATAGTTATTTGGCTCAGCTCTTACTGTTGATCAAAATCAGAAAATTCTACAATTGTATGTTGCTAATTTTAGAATATAGCTCGTTCTATAAAAATAAAAATACAATTGTTTGTATTTGTTCATTTGGGCTTTTTATATTTCGAGACTAACTACCTATAAATGTCCAACTCTTTTGTAACTCTGCATTTGTTAGTAGATAAAGGTAATTCTGAAGAAGCCCATAGATTAACTTAACATGGTCTATGCATGCATGACTTTAGTTCATGTACACAAAGTTGTCAAATCTGTGAGTTTAAGTTTTATAAATAAGCCCTGGGTTAGGATTTTATATAAAAATGGGATTAATGCAACTCAACTACCCTTGAAGATTGCCAAGTGAACAAGAGTGATAAATTTAAGTAGACTCTTAATATATATATCTTATGCTCACTAAGGTTACTTGGTTAAAATACATCTCAGAACATAGCGAACTAACTGGTTGGTACATTTTATGAAATATTTATTACTTAGCTACGCCACTTTAAATAATTATTTAACCACCTAGTATAGAATATGATGAATACGTGTAGGTTAGTACGTATCTATATAACATAGCGTAAACATAAACATATAACTATTAAATATTACAATTTTAAACCTGATAAGGGGTTTAAGATACTCACCACTCGAAGTGCATATGATTTAAAACATTATAAATGGATTTTATAAAAGGAATAGTTATATCACTATGTAACAAACCCTTTATTTGTGTTATATCTTAGTCTTTGCTTTACGATTAATGAGTTTGTTTTGTATATAAAATTTATGCCGTCCTTATCAAATGTACATAGAATATCATTTATAATTGTTATTGTATATGATATATATTTTTATCATCAGTGTTTATATAAACTCAGTTTTTCTAATTTGTTAATCTTTATAAATAAAAATTACACCTATTTTTATGTATCCTTTTTATAAAAGCATAAGTACAGGTACTTGACGACCTGTTAGACATCAGATTTAAAAAGCGATTCTGAAGCCGTGGTGGCTAACCAGGAAGTATTGTGTTCGCTCCAGGTTTTGGGGGGAAAAGTTCCTGGCAAGGTCTGTGTATTATCGTTGGGATGGGATCAAAACACCAAGGTACAGTGTACACATTGGCGTGTACGTAAAAGAACCCTTGAATGTTGGAATTCGATATAAGAGTAAGCTGTAGCCCCGCCATCCAAACAGCATTTTCCTCATATCACACTGTATAACGTATGCCCGTCTTCATAAGCCAGGTCGTCGTCGGTTAAGAAAAGTAGGACGTTAAACCCCATTTCATTTCATTATACTGCAACTAGACCAAACTGTTACATTGCGGCCAATCGAATATTTATTGTGGATCAGTTGCAACTAGACTAGGCAATGGAGACTGCTATAGAAACAGAAGCACTCGGATTAACCCAAACGGTCTTCTCGGTTGGTAAAGGTTTGGGAGACAGCAAACCATAATGGCACATAACACAATTTGGATTTCGCATCGATGTGTGTTTTATTTGTGAGGTGGTTACCGTTTGTAATACGGGTTTTAAGTCATCAGATATAGCTTACGTTGAAAACAAGATTGGTTCAAAGCGTACACTACCACAATCAACATTTAACAACGCATTGGGGTGAGAGGGTGCAGGTCTCACAGAAGTACGTGTCCCTTCAAGGAGCTTGAGTTACCCAAAAATTTGAAATTTGAAAAGCATTTTTTACCCCCGCAGATTTAAAACCCCTAAATGTAGCGTATATGTGTACAAAGGGCGATAACTTCATTTTTGTTGGATGTAGACCATAATTATTTGTCCATTGATAGCAGTGTTTCTCCAGCTGTGGCACCTTCCTAATCTTTTGTCAGAAACTACGCTTTGCAACGCATGTCCTAAGTGGATCATAGTTTTGGATGTGCATGACCATCTGAAATCCGAGGCACCGCCATCCATGGTTTTGTTACTTTAAATTCCTAAATGAGTCGAATTTTCACACTCTTTTCAGATACTTTGCAAAAAGCTAACGCGAAACTGTTTCGAGATAATCTGACATAAACTGGCTATCACTTTAATTTTCTTATCTGAAGCGTATTGTAGACGTGACAAGATATCGGACTATAAGATATGGATTTAATTTTGAATAGCACGTTTGGTTTAATGTCATGTAACACATCCCCATAGTTCTGGACGTGTTTGATTTGATTAAAAATCCAGCTTTGGCTTTAAGTACAGCAATGGCTGAAGAAGGATTTCTCGAGCCCTTACTTCAGAAATATGAAAAATTTGTTACTTTCAGACAGATAACTCTGATTAAAATACAGATCTATATTTCGTTTCGGTTTTTTTTTATACTTTCGATGGCCTACACTACATGAAGATCTGACCGGTTGTAGCGATAAGTCGCATCAGAGGTCATAAGAGTGGATTTTGACCCTATGACGTCAGACATTTGATTAACCAATCAGCATTGATGTAACTAGTGGATTACTCACAGTTCCGTGCAAAACACGCCTAAAGCTCGCCGTAACAGACCGTTTCATTGGCTAATGGCTCACATCATTCAGAACACGTCAATGATAACAACTCTTCCAGATCCTATTTTGAACTATAAAAACGAAAGGAAATAGGATCTGTGTTTTACATGTAATTGGATAACTGTGTGCAATGCGATGTAGAAGATATCCGACCCAGAAGTATTTAGTCTAGTGTCTTGAAGTCGCCGGTTTACGTACAACTACAGATAAGATTTTGCATAGCACGCTTGTGCGCAAGTAAACAGACGTTGATTATTTATTGAAATAAATGATCTACAGTACAGATGAAATTAAATAAAATGGGATAAAACGTCTTACATTCGGGGCTAATGAAGTTTTGCACGGGCAGCGACACCACTGCCTATTCTTATTTCGAATTCTTATTTCGAAACTGTCAGGGTTTTTTTTTATGTAAACACGGGAACTTGGTCAGCAACGATATCAAACCCGGGACCTCACTCACTGAGCCATCCTTGCTCCTAAAATGCAGGTGGGCTTACAAACTCAAAGAAATTTGTACATTGAGTGGCATACTCCTCGCAGTGTTTCGTTTGATTAGACCTAATCCCACTCAAACACTGCTGTAACGAAAGCAAATTTCTCTTCCAAATTATGACTGGTCAATAGTCCGATTAATAACCAATACCCATCTGCGTAACAATATCATTCGAGTTTAAAGTAGCTAAGTCTCTAACTCAATATCATCCAAAGTCTTACACGTTGAAAACGCGAATTATTTGTTAATTCCAATCAATATTGATGTTTTGGTCTTACCGGGAAAAGGTAGGCTTCTGATATCCAATATTTAAGACAAAATAAACATTTTACCAATGGTACACGAATCGTGTACCATAGTGCGTTTCAGCGTCAGCGTCTCATGTCAAACGGTCACGCCATATCTTATCTGGAGAATATGCGCAATATACTGAAATAACCAGACGCTAGAAATTGCCATTCGGTTCAGATTCATGCCGTATTTCGCTGGACGTAACTGTTGTGAAATTAGAGTCAAAACGGAAACAATTGAATGTAAATCAGTTTATATACAATCAGATTGCATTATTATATAATTACTGCAACGAATATTCGATATTTTGCAGCATATATGTTTAACCATATCGTAATTTGGTCACTTGAATCGTGAGAGAAGAATTCGGTGATTTCGTTTTTAATGGTGTTCTAGCAGAACACTGAGTTCTAATGTCAGACACTGAAGATATAGGCATTGCGGCCTTTTCACTTGATTCGTGAGGAAGAATTCGGTAATTTCGTTTTTAATGTTGTTCTAGTAGTTTAGACATTGCGTTCTACTCTCAGACACTGGAGATACAGGCATTGCGGCCTTTTCACTTGATTCGTGATGAAGAATTCGGTGATTACGTTTTTAATCATAGGTTATCGCACTGTATAAGATCGATGAATCTATTCACCACAGTGGGTTAAATTTTATGATTTCTATTTAGTATTTCATTTGAGAAATTAAGGGCACACGTCACTTTTCCAGAATCCATTGTTGTTTAATTTATAATAAAAAGTATCAAATTATATCTTGTTTATTTTTTGTTTCATGACATTGGCTGCCGCTGCATCTAGTATCCGAACCCTGTCCTACTACATAAACAATATTGCTTGGAGACGAACAATACTTTCGCCGTTTTTAATACCTTAAATCACTGTCCAAAGACCAAAGTTTTAGGGAAGACCCCAGATTAAACGAAGGGCTGTCATGTTGCTGTAGGGGAAGAATAGACACACTGCCTCCAAAAGCTCAAAGTGATGCAATGTAACAAATCAATGTTCATTAATAGGAGTTATTTTCCTTGAATAGGACGACTCCCACCCCACCTCCTCTTTCAAGGCGTATTAGAATTTACTGCCTACATTCCTACATGTCTTCTCCAGGTGGGCTAATAAAAACGAGCATACGGCATGAAGTGTATTATGGAGGGAAAGGGGGATTGGCCCGAACAGCAACTGAACTGCGACTGTCAAGAGCCATAAGATCCCAGCGAAGTTTCTGGGCCAACACCGAGATCGAACTCCGGACCTCCTGATTAGCTAGTGAGCCAGCGCCTTATCCAACATGGCCCGTGGGATTCTTTTGTCTTTGTCAAGCATGCTATAGAATTGTGTCCTGTGGACATTTGAATGAAATGGAGAGGTCTGCAAAAGGTGTTGTATAATATAATTCAAAGATCAACAAAAGCACTCATGAAATAGATTAACAATATTTAATAATATACATATAATAGTTTAGTGTATGGGCAATTATAAAAAACGATTCCTACACAATAATATAGTAATATATACTAGGGCTATAGGACAACAATCAGCTAAGAATGTTCATATATGATAGAACTAGTAAAAACAAAAACAGCTGCGAGGAACGGATTAAAAACCCAGGAAAACTTTTTAAAACCCGTCGAATCCCGTAGTTTTACCATATTAATACCAAAACAGGCATATCCAAAACACACATCAAACGTAAGTTTTATTATTCAATATTCCTCTACAAAAGTATGACAATTTCTTGATCGGAACACGCAGTCAATATCCGGTTAGTAGCAGCGGTCGGAGGTCGAATTATTCGGGGCGTCGAAAATTATGAGACTACATTTACACCCAGTTTGATCGACACCCTATGTATTCGAAATAATCGCCAGTCATTTATATTTGACAGATTAGCTATAACACTTACATTGGCACCAATTTTATTCAAATATATCTACCGTTGCTGCCGTCATTTAAGTCAACCGAATAGGCATTATTGGTAACAACAGCCCGTCAACCAAGAGTTTGAAATGGCCTGAAGAAGAAATAAAGCAAAGGATTGTCAATTTGGGGGGCTGCAGAATGGGCTTTCGGAGATAGAAGCCCCGGGTTTTGATTTTTTAATTATTCCGAGAAGAAGGGCGAATTTGGAATTGGTATTTATTACATTCATTCTGTAGAGTAAAAATCATCGTGGAGCTATTAGAACTTTTAAATGGTCTAATTTATCAGGTTTTGGTGTGATGTAGCCGCCTTCATTTAACGAGTTTGTCAATGGCTTCTTTCTCTTCACATGCACACTACTACCGCGTTTAACTTGTAGTTGTAGATGCTGAAATAAAAAAGACAAGAAGAATATGTTATAACTCATCAAATAACAAGAATATTGTAAGCTGTCCTTGGACTCTATAGCATTTTGGACCTCAATATAATAATGATACATTAATTTTTAACACTCTGAATTCCACATCATCATTTTTAGGAAACTACAACCCCAACTTCTCTGGAAAATCCCGGTTAGCTCCCTTTACGCCTGAGTAATTTCCTATCACCCCAACCCGAACGGCACAACTCTTGAATGTTTATGCATACACAATCCACCCTGTCGGCACCTAGTTAAAGTTGGGTAAAATGAGATGCCGAGATAAACTGCCTTATTCAGCTGGCAATCGTGGGATCAAACACACAACCGTTCGGTTAGAGATCTAAGTCGCTAAAGCTATCGAACTTTCCTTGCTTGTGAATAAATTGCAGTTTAAACATAGGTCTTGTTATTTTCAGCGTCCATAGTTACCATTATATCCAACGTGTGAATAGATTTTTACGGTTGATATTCTATGAGAAAAATTAAGTTACCTCTAAATCAAGACGTTTCAACGGAGCTACTTGTGGGCCACCTTTAGGATTATCATAAGCCAGCCATTCTCTAATTCTTTCTTCTAATCCTATTAAAGCTTCATCATGTTCAGCTTTCCTTTCATAGTATTCTTTAAGAGATAATGAGAAAGTGACGTTCAGATAATAACATTTATTATCAATACAGAACACATTGGTAGTTTTAAAATAAGCTATCGCTTAGCTCTGAAACTACTTCTGCTAATAGTTACATGGGGTATTACATTGTATACCTTTTAAGGGTGTTTACTATTACATATTTTTTGCGGGATAGAAAGTGACACAAGTTTTTCAAAGACCCCTCACCACCCCCCCCCCAAAAAAAAAAACCACCAACCCCGCCGCCCACCTCCCACAAGTCGAAAATAAATTGCCGGAAGTTTTCGAAATTAGACCTGCGTCATAACCCGAGTAATGTGTATTTGGACTAGTTCAAATATTGACGAAAATAATGTCATAAATAAATATATAGAAAACAATGCCGTTTCCAAAGGCTTCGAATTTAGCAATCATTTCGCACACATTCCTTGCCACCAAATTCGCACTTTTTGTGAGGAGTACCGTTTCCAGTCACGCCCATTCCTGGTTGACTGAAATTTCAAATATGAAAACGAAACGAAATATTGATAATCAAACCGACTAGGGCTAGTGTCTTTACTCACCTAAAGCTTCTGGTGAATTTTTACGATCATAATCCTCATCATAATCCATAGGATTAACAAAGTTCCTGTACGAGGCGTTATCCATGAAATTTGGTGTTGCTAATTGTACAGAGCGACTTGATTTAGCGGCACTCGCCGGGCGTTGGCCATAGTTACTCTCCGATGCCGACCCACTTTGATATTGTGATGTTAAAAGTAATGTAGGGGGTATAGCACCGTGACCTTGTATTCGTTCCAAATCTTTCATCTGTTTAGAACGCAATTCATTTCTAGTTTTCTCTTTCCGAATACGAATCAACCGGAAAACGCTCCCAGGCCCAAAAATATCTATTAAAGGTCCTTTGTGGTTTAGGAATTCTCTCTCTGCCTCAGCCACTGTGATGTCTTTAAATTCTCGTTCTACCTCTCTAACTGGAGGTGGTCTGTTGCGAGATTTGAGTTTATCATAAAGATATGTTAATAAAGGTATTTCCTCTTTATTTTTTAACAATGAAATTCGTGTTTTTAGTTTCACAGCTAGTTGGTTTGTCATTCGATCTATAGTTTTTGGATGTTTCTTCGAAAATAATCGTTCATAGTGTTTAAGTTCAAGAACAAGTACTTCCGTTTTTTCTTTACAAACCGCCGTTTGCATGTAGGTATCTAGTTCCATTAATATCTCTACGTCACCTGAATATTAAAGCCATATAAATGTATCGGTAAGAGTACGAAATATGAAACCAAAAACACAAAAACTATCTGATAAAACTTACTATGCCTGCAATCTAATGAATTACTCCAGGAAATTAGATGCTGTAATTTTGACAAAAACAAAACAATCAGAACCTAATAAAGTTGGAGCCTTTCAAAGTTTCGGCGGAAGGGGTGTTAAATTATCTGACAAAGGGCATTATTTAATAAATCGGTAAGATTAAATACGACCAGTTTTGATAGAAAAATAAATTCCGACAAAAAGTTAAAAAAATTATTACACTTCGAGAGCGGTCAAGATTTCAGTCAGGGGAAGTAACCCTTGTAGCGATGGGGGTGGGGTGTTTTTTTTATATACAAATCAGTAACCTTGAATATACTGTAATGAATTTTGTTCAAACAAACCGGATTATGAATAGTCAGCAACAGATCAAGAGGTTGTTTGTTATTAAAGGAATATCAGATAAGGGGGTTAAAAGCTCGATTATATTAAAGAGCCACAGAACTCACACGAAGATATGATCTGTTGCTATGTAAATAGTAGTTTAAGTCAACTTACCAACGCTTTCATTTATTCCAAGATAGCATAGCTTCATTGTTTTAGGATTATCTCGTCGTTTTATATGACTCGAGTATTGAACTTCGGTTGGAGGTCGAACTTTCCCAACTTTTTGTATTAATCTATTAAAATAACAAGAAAATTACTAGTTTATTTATCAATATTTCATAGGAATAAATGATAGATAATAATAGGTATAATACAGATATTAACATTTATAGATGTTCAAAGATGCAATTTTCAAAAACCTAGCGTTGTAATACTAGTCGAGGCATCGTGTATTTTTTATCCTAATTCATTCTTACTCATACGCGGCTCATTTCGTAGCACTACCCTGTGCCACATATCTTTAATTTTGGTCTGATCGTCTAGTGGTTTGTTTCAATGTGGCGTGGATATTATTGTAACGTACTTTTAGGCTACACTTTGACTTCAACATTGTGTTTTCCCACGATACCCAAATCATATTTATGTAGCATCAATAACAATAGTTTTGATATACATTTTATGTCAATGCAGTTAAACAATAGTCTACATTACACTGCCTAAAGTAGCTAAGTCTCTAACTCATTATCATCCAAAGTCTTACACGTTGAAAATACGAATTATTTGTCAATTCAAATCAACATTGATGTTGTGATCTTACCAGGAAAAGGCAGGCTTCAGATATCCAATATTTAAGACAAAATAAACATTTTACCATTGGTACACGAATCGTGTACCATAGTGCGTTTTAGCGTCATTGGCAACAAGTGACCAGAAAGAACGAGGATTGACATACTCAACTGGAGAGCCTGCTTAATAGACTGGAATAACTAGACGCTAGAAATTGCTATAGGGATAAGACACATGGCTTATTTCGCCGAACATAACTGATTTGAAATTAGAGTCAAAATGGAAACAATTGAATGTAAATCAGTTTATATACAATCAGATTACATTATTACATTGCGACACATTTGGTCAATTTCTATTTCCCAAATATTAGCGATTTAGCTCCTTTAAAATTATCATTTTTTTTCACAGAGGAATTACTTGCCCTTTAATTTTTTTTTAAACACCCGTTGGCTGTTCGAATATTTTTCATTTAGTGCAATCGACGAACATCATGGTCACCGACTAAGAAAACTAAAATTTAAAAATCATCATCACAAAATATATGTGATTAGTTATTGATGTGATACGTTACTGTGAAGTAAAATTTCAAAAGAAAGCATACCTCTCTGCTTCATTGTCGTTAGCCTCCATGAACAGCTTCTTGTATTGGGAGGGATGTAAAGATGGATCCATCTGAATTTCAACCTGACCACTATGAAAAACAAAAAAGAGCTATGAAACTTTAAAAAAAAACAAGCTAATTTATTTTATACTAACATCTCATAGATTCTATATGAAGCTGGAAACGTTTTCTAGATTCCTAGGGCTTTTATCGTTGATGTCTGCAGTTTCTTACATAATTAGGTATCAACAGAATGCATTAGCTGTGTGAACTACCCAAACAGAAGTGCTCTAGAAATAGTTAACATACCATATCTCTGTCAAAGAAACCATCCATTTTAGTTAATAAGTTCAAACGCCGGATGCTTTTTTAGTCAAAATTATGAACGTCGTTACATGTGTAGTGTTGGTTATTAAAACAAACACAACCATAATATCTATAACAACTGGAACCACTTTTGTATTTAAAATGTTAGCATAGCTAGCAACTGTTGTTGTGCATGTAATTAAAACCGTCTACTCAGTTAGCATCGACTTACAATTCTAACTCATTGTATCATTTAGCTATAAAAGTAGCACTAGATCTCTCATTCTTTTGAAATATTCATATAACTCTATTTATCCAGAATTTCGAAACTTCCCAAAAACCCATTTCCCATACCAAATTGGAATTGGGATTACAATTATCCTTGAGGCTCCATAAAGTTATGACGGTTATCACTTCAGCTCGTCGACCACAGGTCAATTTTTTAATTCTTTTAGATTAAAATGGGTTGTCATCCTTAATGCGGGTACTTACCTTATTATAAAATAAAGTATATCTACTGGATCACCTTGTCTAACTAAAACGCTGTCGTAACTAAACGTCTGGGTATACAATGCCATAGACAGCTGTACACGGTATTTAGGAGCCCAGCTTCTGAACACTGAATTCATCTTGATGAAATCTGATTTCTTTTTTCTTTCTTGGAAGATGACATCCCTGATAGATCTGTTATATAAAGCTCTATCTATAATAACTAGATCTGTTGGTACATCTGCTATAATGGAAGCCGTTCTGAGCAAACCTTCCCGTTCCATCGCAACCTCCCCCACCGGTACTCCACCCCCTGTGGAAAAATCATTAATTCTAATTATGACCTTTTTTCTAAATCTACATTGATAATGATGCTGGTATTAATGAAAGTTTTTTTTTAAATTATTACAAAATAAATGTTGTATTTTTTCGACGAAATTAAAACCCCTAATTGATCTACCCAAAGTTAAAATTTTGTGGATAATCACCAATTATACATAACGCAGCATCACTATTTGTAACGTATGCAAATGAAATGAAATGAAATGATATGGGGTTTAACGTCCTACTGTTTTGCTCCGACTGGGCTAATGAAGTAACATATTCAAGTTTGCCTCACATATTAATAAATTATTTAATAATGGCATGTTTTGTAGTAGTAAGGAGACTTCCTCATTCCCAGATTTTGCATATCTAAATGTTATTTTAACATTCTTTACAGAATGTAGACTTGCTGTTTCATCCGATGCGGTTGGCCCATTGATTCTTTATGAGTGTTTCGTAGGGTAACATTTCTACTGTGCTTTTATCTTACTGAAGTGGGATGGATTGTGATCAAATGTATTATTCGTTTAAAACATAGCAAAACATTCCTGATCAAATTCGATATAAATGGTTAGTATTGAGATCTTACCAAGACGTACAGCACACAAGCCCAGTTTACTTCGGTCCAGTTTCCCTCCTTCTTTGTAAACAAACTGAACTTCGACCTCATTGTTCTCATCATCGACATCCTTATCTTTATTTAAAATATAGATAGCTAATTGACCATCTAATATTAAATAACAACTAAAATAGAAAAAAAAATAAAACGATGAACGTCGGATATATTTCAAGCAAGGAACGGAGCTACAATTGTTACTCATCATGTTGTTCTTGTTATTTTCATCTTTGGGCGATAGTGGGGGGTTGGCTGGCCGAATGGTTAGCAGGTGCGCGTTGCATCAGAAGGTCTGCCATTGAGACAACTGGCGTTGTTTCGGTTGTACGTAACAAAAAGTACCGGTGCCTGTACAATCTCTCGGTCCCCTGGTCCCCGCCCCCACTGCTAAAGACCCTTACGCGCAAGCGAATTATTGAAATAAAATTGAACCATATGTTAGTCCAGAATGGCCTAGATTGTGTCGAGTGGACATTAAAAACTCTCTCTTTGGGCGATATTCCGCCAATTCATATACGATCGACATGTAACTTATTCCTTGGAAAATTTCGCATCGATGGACCCACTTCGATTTTTGAAATGAATTCACAATTCCAAGATGGATGAGACGACGTCATACTCGCTTCCTGGTCTATAGTAACGAGTGTTAAATACTAAAGCGTTTGGGGTAAAATTTAAAAACGTATGGTTTGTAGTTTTTACACAATCTTAACCCACAACTCAACGAGTGTCGTGCACCATGGTGTTAGTTTAGGTATATTCAATGGACCCGATATTTCATATTAGACTTTAGATAATGTTGGTGATAGAAATTTAAGTGGTAGATTTGGTTTCTGTGATTGCTTGGTTGATATCAGTTATATTTCAGTAAATAAAATTGGTTATTTCTGAGTGGAATGCTATTAGATACCATTATTCTCGTCCTGTGCAACTATCTGAAACTCTTTGATACATTTCGTACTAGCTGTTTGGAATCTTTAATATTCAACTTAGGCTATACCTTCGATTTCTGTATAACCCATCAGATCGTATATTGAAATAAGGTTGGGACTGAAAACCCGCATTCAACACTCCATTTTTAGTTAAATAAAAGAGGTCCAGCTTTTTGAAGTTCTTGTTTTGTGGCTGGAGTGTTTTGTTGGGGGGGGGGGGTATATTTGACAGTTGTGTATCAATGAGTGAGTTGTTTATCAATGAAATGAAATGAAATGGGGTTTAACGTCCTACTGCTCTGCTCCGAACAGTGTGCTATAAGGGAATGTTGCCCGGACAGCCTACTCTTATATCGAATTCCAACTGTCAAAAGATCTTTTGCGTGCACGCCAATTGTACACGGAATCTCGGGTTTTCGTCCCATCCGAACATCACTGACAAGGGGGGGGGGGCACGCCGGGAAATCTGGATGAACTTTCTCCGCCTGTGCAGGGATCGAACACCCGACCTCCAGGCTAGCGAGCCAGCGTCTTACCCACTTAGCCACTGTGACCACCGTTGTTTATCAAATGGAGGTAAAGTGGGTGAGTACTGTTTGTTTGAAATAATTTATATTATCTATCTGGATACTCACCAGTCTCCGACTTCTCCTTGTTTACATATAATATCATCAACTTTTTTTCTTTCAAACCGACAATTTTTTATTATATCCTTTACAGATTCTGAAAAAAAATAAAATCATAAAGTATAATGAACATTATTTCAACCACTCCAAGATGCCAGAGGATCTATCAATAATTCTCGCAGATGGAATACTGTACATATTGGTGGAAATTGTGACCTTTATAATTAAACCAAAATGTAATTTGAAATAAGTTTCTTAAACTAATTTTAAAAAATATATCTTAATGTCGTTTCGTCTGAGTTTCTAAATCGAGTCAGGTAAAATATAAAATCTGGGATATAAAACGAAATTGACACCGCAAAATTATTTGACCCAAACGTTATTCAAATTAATAGAATTGATATCTGTAGATTTCATTCCGTATTATTAATTCTGCTATATCATTTTTACAAACGAGCCCATTCTTTAAGAAAGTAGTTTTATACCCATATGTGCTTTTAAAATTACATAGTAACAACAGTCTTTAAAGGGACCATCTCGATTTAACAAAGTTTAAAAAAAAAAATTCGTGTACGTATGAAATTTAAGCGCCAAAATATAGAGGAATGGTGTATTTGCCGTGTCTCAAAATTTCCACTCAGAATATTGAGTCGTTTGGACGTGAACTTCAAAACCGCTTATTCGGACACGTAACCCTTTTAAAGTTTCGGGTGATCTTTTTGTTGGGTCACCTGATAATCCATTGCCGTCCCTTTAGAGGTCTATACAGTGCATGGCCCACGTGATGTACTTGATAACGAAAGGTAAATTTCACCTACACGTTATTTTTATAAAATAAAAGTCTATCCAGACACCGTATAATACAGCTTGGGACACCATTCTGCATTTCCAGATGAAGACTGACGGGTTTAAGTTGTTTGAAAACGTATCACTTATATTGAGTTAGTTGCTCGGCCCTCAGGTAGAGGGTTGTAAGGGCTTTTAACACAAAATTAAGCAGTTTTAATTTCCAACAAATATAGCTTTTGGTGATTGCTCGGAAAGTCTGGGTGAGCTCTAATGAATTTCGCCCAACACGCCCTTTTTTTATAACGACCCAATTCTTTTACGTCATAGACTGAAATTATAATGCTACATTCTCATCGGACTCACTGGTTTCGTTATCTGAGCTAGAATCTGAGATCGATGGATCATCTACATATTGCGCTTTTCGCAGTAACTTTTCCTTATCGGGTTGTCTTTCCGGAATTTGCCAATTGTCAAGTTTTTCTAAACGCAGATCTTGTGCATGCGACTTTGTTGTTTGGCCTGTTAGGTTTTATGTATTGAACGTTTGTTCAATTATCCGATAATATGGAGTCCATCTTTCATGTAATTTATGTTTCCGAAGATGACTTTTATAATACAACGTTTTTACACTGCGTTTTCCTTAAGCTTTTGTTAACTAAAAGAAGAGCTTGATACTGATTTTGCAAGGCTATTTCGTGGGGATATACGTCGAGGTTTCAAAATACAGGATCACGATTATACAATAAGTAAAAAGGGGAAAACTTTGTAGATTCATTTAAATTAAGTCGAATAGCTGCAAAAGTTTGATTTAAATATAAATCCCAAGTGTTATAATTTTCTGCGATCTTTTTAGACAATACATCCCGAAGTGTACGATGAAAACGTTCTACTTTCACATTACTTTGCGGTTGATAAAACGAGCTAAGGACATGTTTAATATACTTTATTCCTTAAGCGTGTTATTAATAACCTTATTTACGCTGCCGTTGTCTGTAACCAATTTCAACAGACGATATCATAGAACTGCATAGGTGGAATTTGTTTAGTTAAAGACCTCGGTTGACATAGCACACATTCATTTACATGGTTATGAATGCGGACATACATGTTTGGGAAGTAATAATGTCTTTTAATAGTATCGTGAATTTTATCTACGCCTAAATGTCCGTTATCATCATGATATTGTTTTATTACAGTATTTTGAAGGTGTTCAGGTATGTATAACCGCACTGTCGGGTCATCATCGGGACTTGAAATGAAATGTCGGAATTATCCATATTTAAATTTATTTTAGCAGGCAAATCTTTATCTGGAACAGTACAATTTACATATCTATGGGGATCAGATTCATTTGAATTGAAGGCACTAATCTCAAACATATTATCACTTGCGCGTGGTTCAGTTGTTTTACAGGAACCGTTATTATCATTTGATGCTTGTTATGACGGAACACTAGAGAGGAGATCGGCTATAGAGTTTTGTTTTCCGGGTATATATTCAACCGTCAGTTACATCCCGTAATTCCCAATGCCCATAACTGCATGTATTTTCTTATTTTGCATTGGTAATTCCAAAAGATATTGTAGAGGCTTATGATCAGTTCGGATCGTAAATTTGCCATTATATAAATAGTAATCTAACTTTTGTAACGCATAATGGATTGCATAAACCTCCCTCTCTACCACACTCCACTTCATCTGTGAATTCGACACTTGTGAGACAAAAAGAAAATTGGTCGTTCAACTTTGTCTCTGTTTTAATCCTTATGTACTTGGAACAAAGCTGCACCTATAGCCATATCACTCACTCACTTCAGTGTAACGTATATACGGTAAATTAGGAAATGAAATGAGATGAAATGGGGTTTAACGCCCTACTGTTCTGCTCCGAACTGGGCTAATGAAGACGGGCATACGGCATACAATGTGCTATGAGGGAAATTTTACCCGGACAGCGGCACTATGGCCTACTCTTATATCGAATTCTAACTGTCAAGGGATCTTTTACGTGCACGCCAATGTGTACACGGGCCCTCGGGTTTTCGTCCCATCCGAACGACTAGACAGCTGTCCTTGTCATGCCCTCCGTCCTGCATAACTGGCAAGGGGGAACAACCCTGGAAAGCCTGGGTGAACTTTCTGGGCCGAATGCAGGGATCGTACACCCGACCTCCGGTAAATTAGGATCTGTGTAAGTTAACAACGGAATCGTCGTTAAACTTTCTATCAGAAATTCAAAAGCGCAATTTTTTAACAATTTGGTACAAAACGTCTATAATAACTATACATTCCCATAAACTCCTAACCTCGTTTACCGTACGAGGTTAATCCATGCCCTGTATCACACCAACCCTATACTGATCCGTTTTAATTTCTCTAGGAGTGATCACAAATCCTAATTATTTAGTTTGTTGTTAAAAGAAATTAAATTTAGGGGTGGGGTGGGGGGTAATTTCAGCACATGTTGTCTCAATCTATCAAATACAACTTTTAATATGTTCATAATGTTCTCGTTTTGAACGAAGATAAAATCAGGATAGTATATTGATGGATATTTTCACAATGATAAGGACTTTACCAAAATATCACTGTTTTTTCTATACAGTATATAAACACATCAGTCAATTTCATTTTTGAGTACGTGGGATCTGACTCTAGGGAAAGTGTGAACCTAATAATTAGTTAAAGATACAATATGGTTGCAAAGACCATAGTATTACATTAGTTAACCATTTGTGTCCACTGGACGTTAAATAGCATTCTCTTTCCCCCTTTTTTTCTTACGATTGTTTTTTAACCCTTTGCATATAACATTATAGATATCTAGACCTGCGTGGGATAATCAACGAAGATTAAGTCAGGGGACACCGTAACCAAGTTGAGAAAGTGTAATATAATCTTTTGTAAGAAGAAACGACTGACACATGTAAATTTTCTACTTATGGTACATGTATATAGATACATTACTTAACCTCATATTGACCTCTTGAAATCTACATTTCAAAAGGAGGGTGCTTTTATTTCTATGTACAGTATGACAAGTGTATGATCAAGGACATATTGCTGATCAGTTTTCAGTAAAGATAAAAAAAATCTGAGCACGATTCGTCCTTTTATCAATGTTTAATCTGCAATCAATGAATGGTTAATATCGATATTTTCGTACTTATACACTTATTATCTGGACAATAAATCAAAGTATCATAACATAACACCTTAAAAAGTCATTCTAACTTTGAAATTGTATGTGGGACACCCACAATCAGTAACGAATCTGGAAACTGTGAATAGGGGTGGGGTGGAAGGTCCAAATCTAGGGCGTCATCCACAATCCCACCCCATAATGAATGTCAACGAAATACGTAATAAAATGCATAAAAAATATAATTCTGAGCGCCCCGGTAGAACATAGATAGTATTGCCTATATAGTTGTTCGCCGGAAAGCAGATTTGTTCAAGTTAACATAAAGTTCATTTAAAACTAAGATTGTTATTGATTTTGTTATTATTTTTGTGGGAACCTTAGTGGCGCTTACTTGGTCCCAGGGGCGCTTATCCCCCATCCCCACCCAATTAATTTCGCACCTACTCACAATACCAGACTGACAATCATATAGGTCAGAATATCTGTGCAAAGAATAAATGTTGCAAGGGAAGGGGGAATCAGGATTATTAAATTGGATTCATTCATTATATCGTCCGTCCATCCTTCCTGTTATTTCTTCTAGTAAATGGATTTTAATAAAACTTGGAATATATATTCACTACGTTCATTATTACAGTTACTCGAATATCGAATATGCGAACGACTAGACAACACTCTGAATGTCAACACCGAAGTTACTACCAAATGGGTACCGGGCTTGAGAAATCATAAGGTTATTCACGTCCCACGCCAGGATTCAAAGTTGGTATACCTAAGTCACAAGTCCAGTTCCTTTACAGCTAGAATACCGCGGTTCGGTATGAAACACAATAACTTTACTTCTACTGGACGGATATTGTAAAACTTGAAATCTATCCACTAGGCATTGTGTAGAAATGAAATGAAATGGGGTTTAACGTCCTACTGTTCTGCTCCTATGCTGGGCTAATGAAGACGGACATACGCCATACAGTGTGCTATGAGGGAAATTTTGCCCGGGCAGCGGCACTATCGCCTACTCTTATATCGAATTCCAACTGCCAAGGGATCTTTTACGTGCATTCCAATGTATACACGGGACCTCCGAAGGACTAGACAACTGTCCCTGTCAGGCCCTCCGTCCTGCATCACTGACATGGGGGAACCACGCCGGAAAATTCGGAT